GTTAAAGTTATGAAATATCGTTATCCCTCCTATGCAAAGCTAACCTAAGAACAGAAAAAGTAGTGTTACATAAGGATTAGATTTTCCCTAAGGACCTAAAAATGCATAGAGTAGATCCTCATGCTCCCTTCTCAGAAAAGTACATGAACTAAAACAAGCCAGTACCCTGAAGGTTTTTAGTATGACTAAAAACAAACCCCATCTGCTTTGTAGACAATTTCATTTAAGAGCTAAAATAAATCACCTCACTATTGCAATAATTACAAATACAAAAAAAAACATTTTCCAAGTTAAAAGAAATTCTGGCTAGTTTATATAGAAATGGTCATATTTATTAGTTGGTGTTTTTTCTAAATTAAACATAAGCATTACATAGATTTTCCACAATGCTTTCGCATACTATTTATTTCAAATCATAAGAAGCATAATATTAATATTAAATAGAACTATATCAGTATTCGATATATTGCTGAAAATCACTGATATTTATTGACCACAATTTATTGCACTTATATTTACCATTACTATATAAAAAACATATTACAGTTCCATACTGTAACCTAAATATTTGTACATACAAGATATATATATATATATCTAATACTGAATCATGGCTTATAGTCTTCATCTCCGATATGAAAACACAGCACAATAATGTTTATCATTCAAAGTAAAGTATGAATTACCAGATAAAACAAGAAATAGGAATTTGTTCATCACCCAACATTCAAGAAAAGGGTTATGCTTTTAAATGACTTTCATAAGACTTTAAGAGGAATGATTCAAAACAAATTCACATGACCAAAGGTGTTGCAAATTTGTGATTAAGCAACTCCCATGTTTTCACCATTGACTCACAGCAAATAAACAGTTATCTTAATGCAATAATGTTTTACACACTGAATGGAAGCTACTTTCAGAGAAACAAGTAAAAAGAAACTAGAAAAACCATTTCAATACACATTTAGTTTAAAAGATCTGTTTTATTTAGAGTCATACGAAGTAGCTTGAAGAAGTTTCACAGACATGCAGTTTGAATGGTTAAGCTTTCGTGTTTGCTGTATTTTCACCTTTCATTCAGCTAATCCATGGCAGCACAGGCTAAAGGCAAGTAAGGTAACTCGGACAGTCATAACATGTATATTCATGTAAGAAACCTCCCATGTAAAAGCAAAGTTATGCCTCAATTAGTAATGCTGTGACATCATCATTTGGTGGCTAATGCAGTACTCTGTTTAAGTTAATGTAAAAATGAATGATATCCAACTATAACATTAAAAATAATATTCATTGACCTTGAAAAGCAGAGTAGTTCAAAGGTAAAGATGCCTTACATTACAGTATTCAGTGAGGTTCCCATTTATAACTCTCAGTTTCGAATTGTGGTGGAATTACAGGAAAACCAAGAATCACGAGGGAGATTTTTAGTCATGGATTCGAAAAATGATTTGAAAACATGGTTCAAATAAGATTTATAGCCACTTTGGGAAGAAAAAAAAGTGAAGTTTTCATACAAGTGCTAGAGTGCATAAATCTGTATAGTGGGTAGAGTAACTAATGTAAAAAAAACATTTTCTTTATTCTAAAGATATAAAGAAAACAGGATCATAAGAAAATTTAAATGAGAGGAACCACTTCAGATCTTTATTTGATTGCTAGTAGCTAAGCAGTCCAATGATTTTACTTGGCTGCTTCTTGAAAGAAGCCAGGGACTCAAATACAACAACAGGGCAGGGGAGTCTGTTCCAATCTCCTACAGACCTTTGTGTAAAAATGTGTCTTTTGTTCTGTTTTAGTGTCCCATCCTGTTTGTGTTTCACCATCACTAAGGAGGCCAATTATGTGTACTTTGTCCATTTTAGAATTTTGGATACATTAATTCGATCTCCTCAGACATCTCTGTTCTCTAAACTAAAAAGATTCAGTTCTCCAAGTCTGTCATTTTAGGGAATTCCTTTAAGAGCAGGAATGTTTCTGGTTCCTTTTCATTGGACTGATTTCAGAGCAGTAAAATCTTTATTATAACATGGTGACCAAAATTGTACATTTTGTTTCTATTAGTGCATTGTTCATTTTAATAACATCCCTTGATTTTAAATTTGACATGTTTATCTATATAGCCTAATATTCTGCATGTCTTTTTCTTCCCCACCACATTGTCTAGAATAGTGGCACACAACTCCAGGTCTGCATCTGCAGGTTTTTCACCTCTGCTCTTAATGGCCTAAAGGGTTAATGATTAGCTTAATTAGACAAGTTTAACAAACTGGAAAGAGATTTTCAGCTGTTGATTGAAAGAGAGCCTAGAAGTGTCTCTCATATGTTGCTTCTCCAACTTCACAGCCTCCCCCACCATATACGCATAGCTTTGTTTCTTCTGCCTGCACTACCTGCATGTAACACTCCGTACTTGTTTATATTAAATGTCATCTGCCAGGTGGTTGCCAAGTCTTGCATTTTGCAATGTTGAACATCTTTCATAAGTCCTATACTGTTTGCTTATCCTTCTTTTTGGCATCACCTTGCTTGAATTGTTTACCAAAATATAATTCTATCTAGATATCAATGCTGATATCAGTTTAGAAGAGCAGTGGTCCTGCAGTGTCCTACCTATATTTAAATCACAGTGAAAAAAAATTAGTGGAGTATTTACTCTTTTCTGTAGTGTCTTTGATCATCTGTTACAAACTGAAACATGTGACAGTCCAAATGTATCCTTTGTCCATCTATCCATTTTCTAACCACTCCAGCTCCCCTGCAACTGTGAATTGGATGGAGTCTTTCCCAGAAAGCAACAAGCATAAGGTGAGACACACCCTGGATGGGACACCAGTCCATCACAGGGCACATAAAGATGTGCACTTTCACAACAGGACCAGTTACCTAGAACCATCTTAATCCACCTATAAAATTTTAAAATTCTTTAAAAGGTCTTTTAACATTAAAGTTTGTTTCCCAGTGACTGTTCCAATAGCTGGTAGACAATAGACAATCCAATAGCTTTCCAATACAAGACAATTCCAATAGACAATCCAATAGCTATAATAATGTATTATTACTACATTACATTATTATAACATTAGCTGGAACATGGGATTTGATCTACACACTTGGCTCCTTCCCAGCAAGAATGGCCAAGAGCAGTATATCGGAGATCCCCATGTCCCACTTGCTCTGTGATTACACTACATATTAACTTAAATAGCTGCATGCTACAACATACATGAATTGTCTACATCACAGGTCCATTGTCAATGTAGTTCTCCATTCCCCCCCCCCCATGTTAAGAGCACTTTCATACAATACATCCTGGGATTGTGTATAAATAGGCCTTTTTAGTACATCCCAATCAGCAGTTACAATTTTAAATCACTTCAGTGGAGATGAAACGTTTCTTTCTGCAAGTCATTAAAAGCTTAGAACATTAATCACTGAGGAAATAATTAGAACATACTATATTGTGCTACTACAGGTTGCATTGTTGGCCAACTAACTCCATGACATTAAACCACAGAATATTTTCAAATGTCCCTTCAACAGTCATCAAACTGATTTTGGGGAAGCTCGTTTTCACCTTATGAAGTAAAACGATCACTCTTTAATTTATGATAATAACAGAATTCAGTCCCCAGAGCGTCTAACTTCCTGCGATTATTTTCTAAGAAAAGTAAAACAAGAAACGCCAGCCGACGCAAAACAATAGTCCAGAGTAACGAAATACATAGGCCCCGAGACTCTTCTAGAATGTGGAGTGCCTGCTTAAAATAGATAAATTACAAAAACCCTAATTTAATCATTTCTACTTAAAAACGTCCTGGGTGGAACTTTCACGAAATATTACACCAGTGGTACTACACCACCTAGCTACAGACAACATAATCACAAGCTTGCACTAATCGCCTTTATTGCAAATGTATCTTAGCAATCCATTTCTAGAATATTTTCTAATAACACGCACGTTAAACAACAACCTACATATATGAATTGGCAACAAGTAGTCCTAATCGAAAACAAAATCCCATACAAGCCATTACACATTACGTCAGTTGTAGATAGACTGTGAGCCTTCACTCACAAGGTTTAAATCAATATACCAAGACAAATTCCCTTTTAAATGCAGAGCGCACAAACTCATCGAAGCCCGCTCCATGTCATTTTGCACCACTGCGTGTTTCATTCATTGTTAAGCAATTTGAAGAATATTGTCTACGCACAATCAGTACAACAACATGTATTTTTGGCGTTTTGAAAACAATTGACTTCAAACTCACCAAAGCTCGGGTCCTTTATAACCCTTCGATGAAGAAGCCGCGTTGGCTCTTTTGTTAAAAAGCTTCTGAAGCAGCGTAGGAGCCATGGCATACCGTTTTAAAGGTATCGAGCTCGTCTGCTTTGGTTTTGGTGCGTGGCCATGGTAAAGAGTTGAAATAGAGTAACTCCATGGATCGGTATCGGAGTCATATGACAATGTGAGTGTTCAAAGGCAGGAGTGCAGCCTCAGCCACACACAGGAATTAGGCACAGATCGCTCCCCATTGGCTACAACAAGATCACACACACATACGGCAAACCTGTCAGCCATTGGACCCTTAGTTCAGCAAATGCCGCTGGGATGTGTTAAAGAGGAGCACTCTAAAGCCATTGCAATTAAAATGATCAGACCACGTGTGCTTAATATTGACGAAGTTTATTACTTTTTCCATACTGAGGCCCTTTTGATTTCATATTTATTGAAGTACTTGTTTAATGTCTGTCATTCCTTGAAATCCTACATTGCTCCCTTTTTCCCAGTTTCTCAGTACTGTATATTTGGTCCAAATACGACATGAAATGTAAAATACTTCAGATATCTACTGTATCTACTAAAAAAGTCACGATTTGTCGTAATACAATGACTGTCAAATTCTAAAACAAAAAAGATGTGTATTTTAAAAGAGATCACGGCAGATTTTCACTGTAATCTACTACAGCACGTCTGCTCTTCCCCTCCCGCCCTTCACTCTCGGAATTGTCCAGAGAACATTTCTCGCGGCGTCAAGGCCCCGGATGTCTACAGCTCTGCGGCGGAAGTAGTGTTTCTGGCTGTTGGCAGCACACGACCCGGCTACATAGGATAAGAGAAGGACGGTTCTGAAGAGGTTGCTTTATTATACCATAGGCAAAATGTCAAATCCCACGCTTCAGAGTAAACCTATGAACCCAGATAACCCTCGGGCTTTCTTTGATGTGGATGTAGGAGGAGAGAGAGGTAAGGATTTTTATTGACCAACAGACACTGCATGCCGATCGTCGAGACGCATGTTTCAGATATTCCTGGACATTATTACTATACATATACACGAGCACTTGATTTGTTTAATATTGTTTTATAGCTTTGATCTGTAATTATTTAAACATTTATTCTTCTTTAAAATGTGTGTTTTCGTGTCGCTTTCAAGAGCACTATGCACACTGCTAGCTAAATTTATGTATATATACATCCAGGCGGACAATAAATATAGGGATACCTATAGACATTTAATTGCAAATTAAAAAAAAAGAGTGCACGTACTCTAGGCATTGGACCAGACACGTTTGTTGTACCTGTCTGTTTTGTATTGATTCGATTCATTCATTCTCGCAAAGCTTATTTTACTGGTTGCACCCAAATGTCTGTTGAGACAAGTCCCTGAGACAAGCAATGGCTTCTGGTCTGGTTGTTGAGGTTGTGTTTTTCTCCTCTGAGTCTGTGGATTGGGGAGTCCTCTAGGATGTGCTGCATAGTTTGCTCCATCTCACAGGAACACAGAGGGCTTTGTTCCTGTTCAAGACATGGACCATGACTATTTCTAAAGTGAGAGCTGATCACTTTTTTTCTTGAGAAGTGAAAACCACAGGATTGTTGGGTAGGGCATGTGATGAGGTGCTTGTCTGTTACGCATGGTGATTCCCTTCCTTGATCCCAGCTGGCGTCTGCATTGAAGTCTTGCTACGGAGGGTTTTTCCAGACTGGTTTTCTTGAACGCAGATGTATACTTGGTGGATTAAATATGTCTCCGTGAAGTGGCAGGTGAAGAGCATTTTGGACTTTTTAAAACATTTTGTGGGTTATTATGAGTCATTGGATATGTGGAGGAGTGATGTTCACTAGATCAGGGAGGCAGGAGAGTGGGGTTGAGTATAGGGCTCCAGTGATGATATGCATGGTGGCTGGGTGTCTACTCTGTGAGTATGTGATGATCAGTATTCTGCTGCTGAGAAAGAGTGCAAGAGCTGAGGTCCTGAGGATGGTAGTGGCAGATCCCAGTATTGTACCAGCAAGTTTGGAGATCAGATTGTTCCTTGTTTTGATCTTAGCTGCTGTTCTCCTTAAGGGGTCTGGAAGACTCCATGGTATTTTGGACTACGATAATGCTGCATTTTCTGATGGGTCATTTGGTTAAATAGACTCGATACTGTTTTTGAGGGGCTTGGTTTGACTTCATATGTGTTTCAATACTGTTCAAGTTTGAACATGTCCTCATTTAGGACCTGTTCCAGGGTATCGCAAATGGGGTCACCCATTGTTCCAGGATCACTTGGAGCAGACATTTTAAGCCCTCTAGGACAAGAGTTCCCTTAATTTAATACTATTTGCATTTGTGATCAATAACTTATAAGTGGTTACAGTCATTAAAAATTAGCTGGCCTTTACAATGTGGTGCATTAGGGCTCTCCAGGACCAGGTGTACTGACCCTTAATAGATGTACTAAGTACTTAGTAAATGGTTTGTCTCAAATTTAAACTTGAGATGGTCCCTGCATGGTTAAAATGTCTTAACTGATTATACATTACAGGTATTAACTATAATCCTTGGCATTTTAGTTGGGCGCATTGTGATGGAACTGTTTGCCGACGTTGTCCCTAAAACTGCTGAAAATTTCCGAGCCCTGTGCACTGGAGAAAAGGGAATAGGTGCAACGACTGGAAAACCACTCCATTTTAAAGGATGTCCGTTCCACAGGAGTGAGTATTCGTTTAATATTTAAACCTTACCATCCATTGAAGACATATAGTTGCAGATGGAAGTACTGACATTCTCATTCCTTGACACGGGTATAAAGTGTAAAAATACAGTTTGTTGAACTGTACATTGTTCACAGTTTTAGAAAAGGCAATTACTTGTTTGCTGTACCCAACTGGTTTGGATTAGCCAGTTTTTACATCTCGGCTCATAGCTATGAACTGTGCACAGAGGAGAATGAGGAAGAGTTGGCAGACTCCCCTTCCCACATAACTTCTCTTTTAACATGTTGCAGACAAAATATCCCTCTTCCGCCGGTTAAGTGCTGATAGGAGGAGAGATGCGTCTGCAAGCGCCCAGGAGACGCTAAGGGCTGCTGTGTTGCTGAGAGACAGAGAGTCAGAGCTCTGGCCGACTAATTCCATATTTTCTAATCATAATGTACAAAACTTTCCCAATTGACAAAGGATTACTGAATGTGATTTCTTTAATAATACATTGGTACATTTTTTTTAAGTTATAAAGAAGTTCATGGTCCAAGGTGGAGATTTCTCCAATCAAAATGGTACTGGAGGGGAGAGTATTTACGGAGCAAAGTTTGAAGATGAAAACTTTCACTATAAGGTAAGTCAAAATTAAGGTGAAAATTCATATTCGGTACATTATGTGGTTACAATGATTTAACTTGTAGATTGTTCTGGGGTGCAGGCCTAGAAATCTGTAAAGCTACTCTGTGACAATGTCCATTGTAAAAAGCGCTATACAAATAAAACTGAATTCAATTGAATTTCATCATAAAGGTCTTTTCTAATTTTTCTGTTACAGCATGACAAAGAAGGATTGCTGAGTATGGCCAATGCTGGCCCAAACACAAATGGCTCTCAGTTCTTCATCACCACAGTACCAACTGAACACCTTGATGGGAAACATGTAGTCTTTGGACAAGTATTGAAAGGCATGGGTGTGGTCAAAATCCTTGAAGCAATGGAGACTAAAGATGATGCACCTGTCAAGGTATGGAAAATGAATTCAATATATTCTATTTTTGAGAACATTAGTTAATTAAACAATTTTTCTTGTTAATTGTGTAGAGGTTTAGCCATTGTGGTTAACTTTGTTGTCACAGCTGAAATTACAACTAGAGTAACAACTTTATTCCTGTTAGCATTTCATTATATGCCTTGTGTCCTTATCTTTGTTGAAAGTTTTCCATGCAAATAAATATTCTGAATTTTATTATGGGATTGTATGCATTAAATGGATCAAATATGTAGAAGCAAATTGCAATTATTTTTTCTGCATCTTCAAAGTAAGCGCTGTCATGTGTATTTGCCACGGCATGCTGGTAGCATTTTTAATGTGTTCTTAAATTTCTTCTATTTATAACTGTCCTAAGTTTTACCTTGACGTATTTGCTTTCACAGTGAGGCATTAATAGCATTTCTAATGATAGCTAATTAGCTCCGGTTTGTATTTGCACTGTATTGCTCATCTGATCTTACCCAATATTTTAAATTATTAATTTAAGTAAATAATTATTTATTTGGGATACAAATCTGTTTGTTTTTTTTTTTGTCAGTCAGGTGCCCAAATCTTTTTTGTTTTGTGGGTACCTTATTTGGTAACCTTGATTTAACTTGCAGATTGTGATGAAATTTGAAAGTACAATTTTGACTTCAAATCCCTTTGTTAAGTGAGAGTAAACCATTATACACATCATGCCCTTAATGACTGATCAGTGATTAATTGGGGGGGAGGGTTGCAAGAACCTTATTACTAACCACAGCAAATTATTGCAGTAATTTTTAAACAGGCATTTTGCCATTTGTGCCTGGTCATTTTGTTCTGTTTTGTAAAATTAAGAGCTAAAACATAATGACCCGGGTGCTTGGATCATTGGTTTGACTTTTTTTGATACATTTATTTATCAAAACTGTCACCTTAACTACCTTCCAGGTCAAGAGGGCTTTGTCTGTGTTTGTGTGTTTCAGTTGCTGCAGTACTTTTCCCTGCTGATTGGCTTACACAGATGAAAATAAGTATAGTTTGTAGATTTCAGCTGATGAATCCTGCCCAAGAAGGCCTGGGCCTAATCTATTTCTTTGAATCCTTGGAAAGCCTTGTGTTATAGCTGACTGTGGGGAGCTTAAGCAAGGAGATGACTGGGGAATTGCTCCAAATGATGAAGAAGGGGATACCTATCCTGATTTTCCAGAGGACTCAGATATTCATTTCAAAGATGTAAGTACAGTCTGCTGACTTTTACCCTTTACATTTTCATGGTTTTGTATTATGAACATTGAGAAAAAAGCAGCATTACATACTGAGAGTGACAGAGTACGATAAAACTAACTTAAAAATGTCCCAATGTATTATTAAAGACAGCTGAGCATAAGAACAGTTATAAATGAGAGGTCACTTGGCCTACCCAGCCCAATAAATCTTAAGAGTCTCTGGGTGCGCCTGAACCGTCTACATTTCAGGTAAAAGCCAAATGGACTAACAATTGCATGTAACACAAGCTGCAGCATTGTAACAGTGGTACATTGATGAGGTGGATCCGTTTTACTCATAGGCTGTTTTCAAACGCTCACTTTGTTGTGCATCTCAAATAAGTCTACTGCTTTTGTGTGGGTGGATACCAGTCAGAGGCTTTATGTGGTGCTGTAACTAATTTTAAAGTACATTCTTTTGGAAATTCTGAATGAAAGCCTGTGAAAATAAGTAAAATGACAAGTTTATCTGGTCATTAAAAGAATATACGGACTGGACAAGTATTGTGACCATAGTGAAAGACAAAAAGGAGAAGCGGAGACTGACATATTATAGGTTCAGGAACCACAGCCTGGATATAGAAACTGTGTGACACAGGCAAACTTGGCTAACTAGTTAGACCAGGCTGTGTTCCCACTATCAGTAAAGAGAAACAGACAGAGATGCTCTTTCTGCTACACTGCAAGAAGTTCTCAGAGATTAGACAAAATATTCTTACCTAAAATAAGGAATCTAAACAGAATTACTACACCTGCTAGAATCACAACATCCATCAATCCAACTAGTAGAAGAGCAGGAAACTCTCTGGAATTGGCAGGGTATTAACATATATCCTGTTATAGTCTGTTATAGAGGAACAGAGATTGAGCCTCAGATATACTGATTATTTTAAATGTTTTGATAATTGTTATTCCTATGTCATCACTTTTATTCAGGTTTGAGCATCTGAAGAAGGCTCCACGGCCGAAATGTTGTGTTTTCTTTCTTCTCTTTTCAGCATGGAATAAACCTATTACTTGTTCCGTGGTATTATGATTAGTATTATGAATAAAGTTTATTATTATAGCACCATTAAAGGTGGCTTCTCAAAGCACTTTAGTCTTTTAAAATCTTGCTTTACATTTGACTTTAATGTTTGTTTTCTATTGCATCATTTTCTGTGTTTAATTTATATTTATATGTTTTATTTATATAGGTTGACAAAATCCTGTCTGTTGCTGAAGATGTGAAGAATATTGGAAACAATTACTTCAAATCTCAAAACTGGCATATGGCTAATAAGAAATACTCTAAATCACTAAGGTGTGTTAATTATTTCTGATACTTCATTCTTGTTTATGTGTCCTACAGCATTTTAAGATTAAGGTTTACATTATACCTTCTGTTTGATAATAAAAAATAGTTTATTTTTATTATGATCAGGCCTACCGTACATTACAAAAAGTATTGCTTTATTATGGTCAGTAACTGGAAATAATTCGCAAATTGGCATCCGTTTTTCTGTGGTCATTTTCAGGGTTATGATGTTTTTAATTTATGTAATAAACCAAGAGAGAAAATGAAAATATTTTGAACCAGTGGCAGAAAATATCACAGTATATTGAGGATACATACCTTGTTTTTTTAGATAATAAGGTTTGTACTAGAATGGGAAAGATTACATGGGAAAGATTACAAACAAGAGAAGTTCATTCAGCCCATCTCACCCATTTGGTGGTTAATGGCTAATTGGTCTAAGTATCTCATCCAGTGATTTCTTGATAGAAGCTAGGGTATTGGCTTTTAATAAGATTTAATAAGACAGGCATTTCCAGAATATGGAATAATGTACTACTCCTGCCAGTCATGCTGAACTGTTTGTGTTTGTTGAAGGTATCTGGAGGTGTGTGGAGATGTAGTCGATGATGAGAATGAACAGAAGAAGCTTGAGCCTGTAGCCTTGAGCTGCATTCTGAACATCGCTGCCTGTAAGCTTAAGATGCAACTCTGGCAGGAAGCCATCGACAGCTGCACTGAGGTAAATGTCGAAGATGGTGAAATACTAGAACATGAAATGAAGCATCTGCCTTCCATTAAGACAAATCCCTGAAAGTATCTTAATGACGATGCAAAGTTACATGACAGTCTATATGGAAATAATATCCAAGAGAATAGTCAGTATTTATTTAGAGAAGGTAGGTCTTGCCTTACCAACTAATTATGAGTTATTTAAATGAACAAAAACAGGAATGTATATGCTTGGAACATATAATCTGGTGTAGATTTTCAGAAGTCTTTTAAATTATTTGAATGAACAACAACAGGAATGTATATACTTGGAACATATGATCTTAAAAGTCTTTTAAGTTAATTTAAAGTTCCTTATAAAAGATTAATTCTCCAGTTACAGGTAGTAGGCATTCGGGGAGATGTGTGTTGGTATTCAGAATTGGATGATGGAAAACAGAGTACAAATAAAGGTGAATTCTCAAATTAAAAAAATACTGAAACTGCAGAGTAACCGTAACCTAACCATATATGAGTGTATTGATGATGAATGTCCAAAGTGATTGTAGTATGTGCTTAAGAATTTTGGTATTGTTAAGACTTATAATTGACAACAGTTATCAGTATCAAATACAGTCTGATGGCTTTACTTAGATGTAGATAATTCAAATAATTATGTACCCATAACATCACACAATGTATATTGCATTATTAATAAATAATACATTTTAATAAGGGATCAGTTTCATGTTAATCAAAGACAGAAGTATTTAAAGAAAATGTGTGTAACTAAAACAAGGTTTGACATCTATTTGAAAAGCATTTGAATAGATTTATAAAATTACTTTAAATTGCCATCAAGACACCACAGCAAATTGCTTTATTGCATGTTAAGGATTTAAATAAGCTCTTGATTAAACTATAACAACTCAAATAAGCTTCAGTTTCATTAGATCAGTTCTACTAATGAAATATACTTTCTTTCAGAAATCTTTGTTTTTGAGTGGAATGTTGCTGTCACTGTTGAGCAGCTTTTGCAGGAGACAATTATCTGCAGACTGCTGAATAATAATGAATGTGCTTCAGGGTTGTATCTGCATAATGATTTTTTGTATAATCTCTTGCACTATAGGCACTTGAATTAAACCAGACAAACACTAAAGCACTGTATAGAAGAGCTCAAGCATGGCAAGGATTGAAGGAATATTCTCATGCACTGGTAAAGTTTTTTTCTATAAAATATAGTTTTTGTTAAATGTATTAATTGTTTCATATGTAGGTTTTTTTCCCCAAAATATAACCTGCTCTTTTGCAATAATTTTAGGCTGATCTTAAAACTGCTCAAGAGATCTCACCAGAAGATAAAGGTGAGTGTAGTCCCATTTTTATTTTTTTAAATGTGAACTGTTAAATTACTCATTATTTTTCTTATCAGGCTTCCATTAACTCAATTCGCTATAGTTTCAAGATCACTTAGTTTGATAAAGACTTGCTTGTTGGAAACCCATAAAAATATAAGACCTTTTCTGGCATCAGGGCAACAGTGGACTGAACTGAGACTGCAAGTAAATGAGTTGTATTCCAATACAAGCAAAACCTTACCTTAGATCTTAAAATATTTGCAATTCCTCAAATATTTTAATGTTTGCAACTTGCAGTAATACCGCCTATATATATACTCAATATGCTTGTGTGTGTGTGTCCTGTGATGGACTGGTGTCCTGTCCAGGGTGTCTGTGTGTGTCCTGAGATGGACTGCTGTCCTGTCCAGGGTGTGTGCGTCTACATGTGTCCTGCGATGAACTTGTGTCCTCTCCAGGGTGTGTGTGTCTTGAGATGGACTGCTGTCCTGTCCAGGGTGTGTCTGTGTGTGTGTGTCTGTGTCTGTGTGTCATGTGATGAACAGCTGTCCTGTCCAGGGTGTGTGTGTCTGTGTGTGTCTTGCAATGGACTGGTGTCCTGTATAGACTGTATCCTGCCCTGTGCTCATTGCTTGCTGGGGGAGGTTCTAACTCCCCTGCAACCCTTATTGGATTGAAAAAAGATGGATGGTTATTTAGTGTATTCAACTTTGCATTTTTACCAAATTGTTGGCCAATTTGTTTTACCAAATTCAATGGCCAACTTAAAAACTGATTCACATTTAATCAGTCAAAGCAGAATCTCAGTGACTACTTAAGATAAAATTTCAGTCAATAAACCCTAAAACTAACCCTTTCTCATATTTCTGTGAATGCTTTAACATTCTGTAGCATCCAATATTGATTCAATATTTTTAATATAATTATAATATTAAAGATTTAGGCATACAAGATCACTTTATGTTTTTAAATTATATTATGTATTGATATTCCTATTACATTGTATTAACATCTGGCATACTTTCCAAACTCCTTAACCATTTTTGTTTTTTTTAACAGCTATTGGCAATGAGATGCTAAGAGTGAAACAAAAAGTAAAGGAAGAAAAAGAGAAGGAAAAGAAAGTTTATGCAAAAATGTTTGCTTGAAGACTGTTGAAGATAAGAAGCTGTGTGAAGCTTGTGTCCTCATTTTTCACCAATGTTTGATGTTCACAGTGTTTAAATGGTGCATATCTCATTGATGGAAGAAACAGGCAAAACAGCAAGTTTTGTTTTTCTTTGCAGCGCTAAAAAGAAAAATGTAACTGAACAAGTACAATTATGATAATTGTTCATCTTTAAACTATGTACTCAAAAATCCACATAGATATGATTAAAAATCACTCATAGGAAGGATTTGAAAAAATACCAGTACAAAAAGACAGTAGTCAAGAATCAAGAGATTTAAGAATACCATTTTGGCTGCCTACTTAAGTCAAAGTAATTTATTTAGGATTTTGGATGTTTAAAAGACAGGAGGACGTTTTTAATTATACAGATTAAGGATGGCATGGCAGTTAGTGCTGCTGCCTCACAGCTTTTGGATGGATTCGATTCCTGCATTCTCCCCATTTTTTCTGGTTACTCTGGTCCTTTTTCCAAAGCCATGCTTGCTAAGTTTATTCATGTCTTTAAATTGTCCCTGTGCTGGAGTGGCAGCAAGGCTCGGGATTGCCACACCTTTACCAGGAATAATAGGTTTATAATGAATTATTTGAATGAATATTCTGTCTTAATTTAGGATTTGTTTTTTGGTGCTTATTTAAAAATGTTTTGGGGGGATTAAAGTCTGATTTTTGCATTTTTTACCTTGCCTTTTTTAGTTTGTGCATCTTTTCTTTTATGAATGATAAAGTGTATAATACTTTTAAACACTTTGTTTCTGGTTATACCTCTATACCTCTATATATTTTTATACCCATCCTAGATTGGCGATCTATGAATGTGTTGGTGACTGAAAAAGCTGAGATGGGATCCACAGAAAATTAGTGTAAGAGTGGAACAGCAATGAGGGGGAAGGAAAAACATCTTGCTAATATACCCAATGCCCCAAAACTATAATGCCTTTTAAAATTGTCCAGTTTTTTGTTGTTTTTTTTAGACTGAAAGTGTTCAGCAGTACTAAAGCATGTTTTTTTTTTCCATAGTGCATTTTTATAGCAACTGAACTGAATTCTGCACTAAAATTTCCCTTTTCCACAGTGAATTGTGATAGTAGTGCACTGTTCCAGTGGTTCAGTGTAACTAACCAACATTTTCTTCATTATTTTGATAGCTTCAGTGCATGTGCTGGTCCTCAGATCTAAAATGTTTTTTTTAAAACACGTAAGCTTGTAAGGAACTGTTAGGGACAGGTGTAAAATACAAGTTGGCAAGAGTTGAACAGCTGCTGTTAAAATTGCACTGGGAAAAAGTTTGTGAAGGCATTTTAAACATAATAACGACTTATGTTGTTAGAGTGTTGGCTGAATAAAAAAACATCTGTTTCACATGAGTGTGATGTTATCAGTCTACTATGAAAATCAGAAACCCAAATTACAAGTATTATTGTATTTTGTTTCACTACTATACAACGGACTTTCACAGGTATGTTTAGTACTGTGTATATACTTGAAACAAAGGAAACTCAAATGCAATGCTCTTTGCAATGATTTCAGTTTCAGATTCAGTTTTGTCCGTGGATTCCACTCTAGCATCAGCTGATTCTTGATATTAAAATAATAACATTTAATACTTGAAATGTAAGTCATCACACTGTAATTAAGCAAGACTGGTATATTTTAAGAAATGTGAACCTCCTATTCAATAAATATTTTTCTAATTTAAGGAAAGTTTGTACATGCAAATAGTTCAAGAAAATAATGCAGTGAAAGGAGCCAGGAAGATTGTTTATTGCTATTTTTTTCTGGATTACATATTTATCCTTATTAATCCATATTTTTTCCATGTTTAAACTGCATCTACTGAAATGTATATTGAATAAGTCACAATCCAGCAAACCGCTCCTGATCAATACTTGAAAGTATATATGCTGTGCAGAAACTGGTACCTCAGTAACAAAAGTTACAAAACCTATTCAACACTGAGGTACATAAACAGAAAGATATGGGTCATTCTTGTCTATTGTACCTATAAGGAAACTTGAAAAAAATAAAAACTGACAAATGCTCTTTACAACTCGTCTTTAATCATGAAAGTATAATTAACGTAATATTTTGTTTTAGTGTGCGTAAGTGCTATTACTTTTTAAAAAAATGAACATCAGTTTCTTGATGCAATTTACAGTGACAATGAAAAACTGATCCTGGTGTTGATAACTTTCAGTTCAGGCACTAGGCATGTGGTTAAGGTCATGAAAACTTGTACCTGGTGTCTATTATCTGCAGAATTATATATACAGCTATTTATAAATTTGTGTTGTGAGCAGCAGAGTCTGATATTATAACAAATTTGGTTCTTGATACCTAAACTATGGTATTTAATATGATGTTTCCAAATGACTGTAAGTCCCCTTAACACTGGAAAAAATGTCCCTAAATGGTCTCCCTAAAAGCTTACATGCCATTGTACGCTGGTCCGCCACTTCCTTCAGGTACTACCCAGTTAATGTTCTGGCTGGGGTCCTTAATGTCACATGTCTTACAGTGAACACAGTTCTGTGCATTGATCTGCAACCTCATGCCTTCTCCATTTTCCAGAGGAACATACTCGTACACACCTGCAAAAACCAATGGGATGGACTTTACAGAGCTAATTCTACCTCAAAGAAGTGGAACATTAAAAATGTAGGAAATATACAGCATCAACAGTTCAAATGTTTATAAATACATAATGTCCTCTGATACTGTAAGACTGTAATACACTTCTTGACTTAAATTACAGGGTTGTGTTTAGATCAGCAGCTTCCAAAAATGTTTGGTGGACTACAAAGCTACTACAGAGGGGTCCTTACACTGAAATGGCGGTGGAGCTTCAGACAAAAACCCATTCAAACACAGGGAAAACTCCACATTGAAAGAACAGAATCAAACCCAGAACCCTGGAGCTGCCTTGCCACACAACCATGCAACCTCATGTAAATAACACCAATTAATTATACATTTAAATAATACTGTTGGTTCACAACTGTTACATTCAGACTTAAAGGCATAAAGAAGAGCTATGTAAAACACCATAGCTTTCCAAATCAACCCCAACCATCTGTTAGAATTATTTTTTTAAAGGATACACTCCAACCTAAAAGAAATATAACCATTACTGGGTAATTTGTCTCCAATCAATTACTATTTTTCTGCTACAAGGTAAAAAAAACTAATTTTAAGTAATTCAGAATTTATCCACATACTGTACTGTTTTTTATTGACATTAGCAGCAATTAAACACTTCAAAAGATCCAACAAGGACTATCACATGTAACTGCATTTTCTCATTTCCTGCAATTATGAACTGTCACTATTTAACAGAACTACACTATGTTTCCTATGACTTCCCAAAATTTCTATATTTTTAAGTACCTGCTGGACAGAATCGTTGTTCGGGTCCATCATAAATGTTAAGGTTTTTTTCCACTGGAACACTGTCACTCATCAAGGTCAGATGTGGGGGCTGGTCATGTTCATGATTGGTTCCACTCAGAGCCACAGATGAAAGAAGGTCAAAACTGATCTTTCCATCGGGCTTTGGGTACTCTATGGGTGTACAATCCTTTGCAGGCTTCAGCTGGCTGGAGTCTAGACCTAAATTAAAAATACAGAAAGCCAAAATCTAAAACAAAAAGACTTGCAAATTAGATAACCATAAACCAACTAATTCTTGTTAATGTCATATTAATAGTGTTATTAATTATTATCTTAGTATTTACTAAACAGGGTTAACATACAAAAGGTATCCTCACAGTTAAAACAGACTTTGCAGTTTCATTAAGCCATTTCAGTGTTTCAGTACTGTTTGACTAGTGGGCACTTTTACAGAATACTACTCCCACCTGTACTAATTATATACAGTGAAGTATTATAGTACATAGGAAAGAAAATGCACATTAGTGAACAATGACTGAACAACAATGTTTTGCCTGATATTCTACAGTGTATATACACACCAATTACCTTTATGTTTCAATGTCCATGGCTCTTTTCCTCTCAAGATCCAGTAAAATATTCCCGTGTAAATCATTCCACCATAAAGTCCCAAAGGATTATGAAAAGAAGGCCTGATATTCCTTACAGCATAAAGTTCTTTCCAAATCCAGGACTTTTTCAGATTTTCTTCATATTCATGGACATGGATTCCTATGAAACATATAACTAATTATAACCTGTAATCTATAAGTCAAAAAACAAACTATACATAAATCAATGGAGGTATTAGATGGCGAAAGGAAACAGTAGTCTGGCACAAATATACAAATAAAGTACATTCAACTTCATGTGGATACCTACTGTGGATAGGGGTCAAGAATTTAATAATACACTATTACCTGATAAAATGTAAAGATATTCAATTTGGCTTAACAACCTACATTAGCTCAATGGTGCCTTCTACAGTGATAACATACTCAAAAGCTTAGTTTTGCATAATTAATAACATTTTCAAGTTGAACATACATGTTGCACTGCTGTAGAGTTTACATTTTTTAGGAATCATTGAAAAGCAGAAAAGCATCTTTGACAAGCAGAAACATAAAGATAGTGTCAAATGATCTATCCTCCGGGTTTTTCCTAAAAGCAGTCTTAAAATTAAATAATAGCCCCAGTGAGGATATTCCAAATCACATTTGGAGTATGCTACGATGACAGCTGAAGAGTTCAATAGTATAATGGGCTCCGTAAATTCATATTTTAAAGGCAATATGATCAGGGCTCAGTGAATCTTCAAACGATCCTAAAACTTGGAACAAAGGAAGATGTTCCAAGAAAGTTATGTGATGCATGTTAGCAATCTCAAAAAGACTAGGTCAGCCAGTCTGCACGAAGGCTTTACACACAATCTTGACAAAATCTTGAACTTTGCATTCATTACTTTTAAGGAACAAGTAAAGGTTTATTCCAAGCTGAAAAGAGAAGAAAAGAAACACAACGTTTTGGCTGTGGAGCCTTCTTCAAGTCTCAAAGTTCATTAATTTTTACTGTTTTTCTATATGTCCACATTGTATTAACAGTGAAGGCAGCCTCACCTGCTGTTTCGGATTGCAGGTTTTCACTGGTAAGTTTCTGAAAGATGTCTTCGGCGGCCAACATGCCACTCTTCATTGCCGTGTGAGTGCCTTTGATTTTTGGAACGTTCATGAATCCAGGACTGCACCCTATCAGTAGTCCCCCTGGGAACGTTAGTTTGGGCAGAGACTGAAAGACAAATGCAGCTCACACAAATAAACTACACAGCTAGAATGAAAAACTAAAATGCTGGTCAGTTATCCAAGATAATGTGGCTTCCTTTGGTATGTTACTCAAAATGTATCCTACCTGGAATCCACCCTCGTTCAGTGCTCTTGCTCCGTATGCTATTCTGCTTCCTCCTTCAAGTGTTTGTGATACTGATGGATGATGCTTCCATCTTTGAAATTCCCTGAATGGATTCAAGTAAGGGTTTTGATAATCCAAGCCAACCTGTCACATAGTAAATTAGTTTATTACACCAGTGTATAGTCATTTGTTAAACATGCATTTCAGAAAAAGTTAACAGACATTTTCATAGACAAACGAAATTCTTTGTAGTTAAAAACTACAATTAGTCATTCCCTAAATTCACCTTATTGCAGGATACTATAAATCCCCACCACTGTACTGATAATTTAATGACACATGATACTCTTACAGAGTGAATTAAACAGCATAAAAGAACTAGATAACAGCAATATCCTGTTTAACAGCTTTGTTTTCATGTTTTTTAAATAGACGGAGCATATTAACATTTCCAAATTCTGAATGATAATACTGCAGAGTATCAAAACAAACATTTTTGGCATTGCTTTAATTGATCATTCATGGTTTACCATGTAATAGAGCACTCATATTTCTACCACATAAGCACTCAGTCATATCATTACTTAGTAACTAATTAGTGAGAGTTCACTGAGCCTAGGTGATTTAACCTGTTGAATGTCAATCAAATCCTTGGAGCTCACTGACCTTCTTGCAGGCTCATCCTGACAACAGTATTCTAATGGGACAAATCACATCCTCATGCTGTTCTCATTACAATGTAACATGTTTCAAGACGAGAATGTGACAGTTGTGTTGTGAATGACCTATCCTACAGCCTTAGACCCCTTTGGACATTTGTGAAATAAACTGGAAAAATGCATGGCATTCAGGGCTCAACAACCGTGAACAAGCACATGCTTGTCCAAGCTCTACAAGAGGAATGGGACAGAATCGCACGAGACAACATCTGCAACCCAGTGTAAAGCATGGGATATCGATATATATTGCTTCAAAAATTGACTACACACACTTAGCATGTGACAATCCCTGTAGAACCCTGATCAACTCGGTTGACGGCAACTGTTGATCAGCATAAGAAATTTGCAACCATCTGCAAAAAATGTTCGTGCACACCATCTACTGAAATTCAATAGCATTGTGAAACAAAACAGAATTAACTGTTAGCAAAATTAAATACTACTGTATTTTATTTGTACGACACAGATGTAGTAGACAGCAGCTTCCCCACAGGTAATAACACCTAAAAGTGCACAGGGGCAGCAGCATGAAGTAAAGGTTAGAGATCCAGACGGGTCCCCAAGGGCTCAAATCACAAACAGAAAATTGCCTTTGTAACTTTGTGTAAGATACTTCACTCAGAGTGCTCCAGTAAATGCACCACTTTATCAATTTCTATTCTCTGGGTGATCTTTGAAAGTATTCTCATTCAAAACGGATGTATGTGGTTAAATAAAAGATTAAAAACAAAATGATGCATTTTGTACACTTAAGCTGCACAGAAGACAAAAGACAGGCATGTTTCAATATGTGGTCAAATCTTCTTTATATATATTCTAATACCCACAACTAATCCTAAGGCCACCAATGGTTCCCCTTCATTCAGATGATATAAGAAGGATCCTCCATATGTGTGCCTGTCCAAAGGCCAGCCAACTGTGTGCTCAATTCTGCCAGGTCTCCAGTTCTTTTCATTGACGAGCCACAACTAAAGGGAAACAGCAGATTGTAAATATTAATAATCCTTACACGATTAGCCATGACATAGGAGGTTAGAAATAATTCTGCTCGCTTTTCCACTGTAAGCTCTCTTCTAATTAATTTTTTGTGGGTTAAGGATTTGCAGCCTGTACTGGCAAACTGATGAAAATTAAAACATTAGAGGATATCCTGCAAATTAGCTATTGCACTCCTTATAGTACTTTATAAAAATGTCATGAAAGAAAGCATTTGCATTTTCCAAGAGGGTTCTGAATCAAAATGAATTAATTTTTAATATTATAATGTATTAATCCTTCAGGCGTACATGGAATAAAAGAACATGGTGATTCTTCTATTTATAATTTCCTTGTAGCCCAAATAATACATTCAACAGTTAATGAGCTACCTGTAAGGAGTTCTTATTACAGGACACATAAACAAGTGTAGGTAAACCCAGCTGGGAATTTCAAATGATTCTATTACCTCTTTCAGCCCTATGGCATATGTCTGCTGCTCACAGTTCTCTCTGAGGTTGAACCGTTTGTACAACTGCTTTGCCAGGTGTCCATGGCAGCCTTCACCAAATACTGTAACTTTAGCATGGAGTTCCATCCCTCTTTCAAAATTATCCTATCAATAATCGAAAGTAAAAGAAAAGATTTGTAGATTGTAGACAGTGGCAAACTGTGCGAAAGATTTCACAAAAAACAAAGCTGAAATACATTTTACAATACACTGATCTATTGTAAAATGTATTTCAGCTGCTTTATCAAATAAAGTAAAAAACAGTCTTCCTGGTTGATTTGCTATGTTACAAGACTTCTCCGGACTGAAGCACATTCAAAGCATAAACATTATTACATTACGAAGCAGTCGAGTTATCTTTACTGTTTTAACAGAAGATAATTAAACGTAGAAATACATTAAACTAAGGTTCAATTACAAATATACTGTACTATGCTGTAGAACCTTACCTTTGGGGATCCATCTTTGGCAATGCCTACATCATTTGTAGCAATCCCTTTCACACTTCCATCTTCATGAAATAAAACCTAATTTTTATAAAAAAACAAATGAGTATAATTTTTTTTAGCATATGTAAAGAAACCCCAACACCAAACATTGAATATCAACTGGTACAGAAAGGTCATCAGTAGGTAAGGGCATGTAACTATTGACACTGTCCATGATTTGTGATTCCTCAATTAACCACATTCTCGTGTGGCATTTATTTATGGTTACATTTTCTCCTTGGAGAGATCCATTGATACAAGGAACATCCTTTATTAATACATTCAGTAGATTTAAAGTATCACAGGTATTGAGTAACATGGCTGGAAATTATTTTTTATCCCTTCTTGGGGGAAAGAATGCTCTTCTTTTATCCCTCGATCTGTACTGGAGTCTGGGAGAGGAAAACCAAGTTGACTCTCAGAAGTCTGCGGTTGCAGATAACTGGTGTCTTACTGGTGGAGCTCTTTTCCGGTGGCAAGCAACAGTAATGTCCTAGATGACTGCTCTCTCCTTGTCAGCTCCTGGAACTCCTTTCTTGTCGTACTAGGGCAGGTGTCTTGTCAATGGTGAAGACGTAGATTTATGGACATTCTCCCTTTCTGATAACACTGGTTCAAGGCATGGCCTCCTTTTCAGATTCTCCCACCCTACACCAGCGCTGGACCAGGGCATGGCTGTTCTTTCTTCTGAAGCAGGGTCTGTCAGCACGTCTGTCCTGGCTTCTCTATCAGTATCTCTAAAGAACTTCCCTTTTTGAGCCCTGGAGCAGACTACTGCTCTCTCTTTCTTTTCCAGTTAATTGTTAGATGTTATATGAAATGCCACAGTGCTACCTGCTCTTCAGGGAACTGATGTCACCCCTGTAAGGTCCCTAACAGTACCACCGGTCTCTCACAGGCCCACCTGCCACACTAAATACACAGGTTCTCCGTTCAAAACACAAGGACCTCCGTTTTTATTTGAAGAGCAGCTGGGAAAAATCCTGCCCCTGGTTTCAGTCTACGGCTAAAGAGAAACAAGAAGAAAACAACCCCTCTCCTAGTTTAGGGAGTAGCTTGAATACATTTTCTTAAATGTTGTTTCTGTGTTTGTGGAGTAATAATTACCAGCCATTTCATTTGCAGCACTATAATAAATGAAAGCTAGCTGCATGTTACCTCAGCAGCAGCATACCCTGGGTAGAGCTCAACTCCGAGAGCTTCCGCTTGTTCTCCCAGCCACCTGACAATATGGCCCAGTCGAACTATGTAGTTCCCATGGTTGTTCATTGGGAGGCCTAAAAAAGAAGCAGTGTTATCTGAATATGAAAGAAAACTGCACAGCTAAAACTGTTTTATGTTTTTAAAGAAAAGGAAATTCAGTTGCAATATGAGTAAACAACGTCAATTGTTACGGAGTCAGGACTGCGTGACTATGGCACGGCTTACACTGCACTTAAGGCAGCCTGGTTTTTCTAAAGTGCTCTGGGTTGGTCTAACTTTGCTCAGAACCTTTGCATTTTATAATATCTAGAATGGCTGCATGACAAATAGGTATGTTGATTAGATATAGTTTGTGAGAACTGCATCTTTATCAACAGACGTCTCTGTAATTCTTCAAATACTGTACCCATACATTACAAAGCCAAAACTCATTTAGGTGAGGTAAAACAAACAGTCTGAGAGATTTCAAACTGTATAAAGTAGCAGCAAATCTGAGTATTTAAACAAATTTGGTAAGCAAACTGAGTTTTTACTCAAGGTCTGCGAGTTTATGATTCTTTACCGACACTGAGATCCCATTCACTGTCACAGCTGGGACTCATACACACAACTGACAAGTGGCACACCCTGAATCTAGTTGCCAACGTGGATGCTTTAGAAATTCAGCACTTGACACAAATGTTTCCTTAACAGCTATTCTGGAATGTTTGCACTTTCGATTTTTGGACAAAGATACATTTTTGGACAGAAGAACATTTTCCCCTTAATTCCTTTGTGCAATATATGTTACCATCTCAAAATTATTATCCTTGAATTGTAGGAGGATTCATATGGTTTTAGCTAATTAAACATTTGCTAAAGGTTTTGGAAAAGTAAGAAAGAATATATTTAAACCGAATTTCAAATGAATTATGTAAAAGTTGCTAGAACTGCAGCTCTGTATTTAATCATAAACTATCATTTAACTACCAATATTCTATACCTGGCAGTATGGGGACAGGGATCCTGTGCTTCTCTGTTAAAATTCCAAACTTGTCTTCTGTCACTGGTGTATTTAGAGGTGCCTAAACATAACAAATAGAATCAATAATAAAACACTTAACATAAATACCTGGTCAGAATAGTACTCCCTCTTCTTCAGTAAAAACTTGAATTTCACTCCTGTGATACCATATTAGATTGCCCAGCTTCCATAAAAACCACCTACTGAACTACTATCAACTGTAGCTGATAGTTAAGAGATCTATTGTTAATATTTTATGAGTAAACAGAGATTAGGTTGGACATAAATGTACTTATATATCCTAAAATATTAAAAATATTAAGTTAGTCTAAACAAAATAACTCCATCCTACATTTTAGATCCACTTCTGGAATAGTATTACATGTTAGAATTTATAACCAGTAGAAAAAAAAAGAAGTCTTGCAATTTTCCTCTCTTTTACCAGAGAAGGTTTTTAAATAACATACTTAGTTATTCATAAAGTTAAAATGAACAGATTCATAATATGGATTAAAAATCTTGCACTTAAATTATTGCACTTTTATAATCAAACCATAAGTGACACATCGTTGTAGTTTTAAATAATTACATTAATTTACATTGAAGTACACCTGTACCTCTTTTTTAAACAGAATTTGTTTCTAGAAACCATTTTTCTTATGGGGAAGAATTAAAATCCATTCTGGAACCCCAAAAAAGTCACCCCTACTTTTACATTTTTCACCCACAAAAGAAACAATAATAACTAACATTCGTACCATGGTTTGTGTTTTTAGTAATAAAAAAACACTGCTTACCTAGGTAGACATCATTAATCATACCCAAGTACAGTACTGTACTGTACAGTAACCACGTCATTTGCATTTTGTATAATTACACAAAAACACACTCACAATTTTCATTTTCTTAACAATTTTAGGGTCCACGATGAAGCCTTAACCACAAACTTTCTTACAAAAAGAGCACACACAATAGCATACATCGCACAAAGCAAGATGCAGTGAACTGTATTACACGTCTCTCTTGCCACCCTGTAGGCTCTGTGCTAACTCTCACCCCTACTAGTGCAATACGATTCATACACTCATTATAAAATGATAAATATCACACCTTCCCCTTCACTCTCTACATTTGGCAGCGGTTTCAAAATTTTTCTTCATATCGCTTCGTCATAGTTTTGGAGTTGGCTTTCGTTATTCAAAATATGGATAACAATTCATATGCATGGTAGTATCAAATTTTCATTAAAAGAACATTTGTAAAAAGAGGAACAGGTCTATGTGGTATTTTAAGATCCTATATTTTTTAACTATTAATTTTAATATTTTATTACTGAAAGCTGGTTTTAATAAAGGCATTAGTCAAATTTTATAATTCCACTTTAGCAACTAGAAATAACCAGAATCACTGTCATAAAATTCTGTGGTAAAGAAATGTGCTAGGACATATGTTTATTGCAAAGGAGAAGAAGTTCTAGTCTGATATGCCAACTGACAACTGAAAGCCTTCTTCTACTACAAGGGAACTAGATTTCTGAAATGTGAATTTGAGAAAAAATGTGTATGAGCATCTTTTCTTATGTGTAGGATGACCACTTTCAAAAGATTAAATTTTGTTGTGTTGGGGAAGACTATCATGTTTGGTAGACATCATATACACAGCACTGAAACAAAAGCGATTTGTCATTTATAAAAAAAATAAAAAAAATCAAAATCTATCCAATTGCCTCAAAGAGTCTTAAAAAATAAGAAAAATGTGCCCTGAGCAGAAGAATGCTACAGTACTTACTCCTCTCTCTTTCCAGTCTGGGAAGAGCTCAGTGAGCGCACTGGGCTCTAAGCATGCTCCCGAGAGGGTGTGGGCTCCGATCTGAGAGGCCTTCTCCACTACACACACCCGCAGGTCTTTGCTCTGCTCGTTGGCCAGCTGTTTAAGACGGATGGCAGTCGACAGGCCAGCGGGACCTCCTCCTACTATCACTACATCAGCTTCATCTGCAAACCGTTCCATGTTTACCCCTTTAAAATTCAAACGTGAAAGACGCTGCACTTTAATCATGAACAACGCAATCGACTGAAAGAGTAAAAACTTTCAAATACGTGAAAGTTTCTTCTCTTTTTCTCCTCAGCCCGGAACACTGACAGTTTAGATAATTTTTATCAAACTCTATAGGGAAAAGAAAACATGCCGCATCTAAGGAAAATAACTGAAAAATAAGTAACTTGACTGAAGTAAAAGAGAGAAGCAGGCAAGGGGGAGATACAGCTGTTCTAGAACCTTCTGCTCTCAATTACAGTAATTTCATCAGAAAGCAGGAAAACTGACTTTGCTTTACCTTCCCATCGTGAGTCCTTGTCTCTGGGGTATACTGTGTAGTGAGAGGTGATACGAGGTACTGTAGATGTGGAAGAGGACCATCTTGAAGCACACAGGAGGGGTGACACAAGCTCCCTTTGCAGTGCCTTCAGGGAATGAACACATCTACATGCTGCAAAACAGTTTAAAAGGACATATAAGACTGCTGTGCACCAGTACACAACCAATGTATCCTTTTAGTATGGTAATCATGTGTCTCTGTATCATTAAAAGTGAATTTAAGAAAAAATCTCTATACAAATCAACTGAAGAGCAGCACAAAACTGTAAAAGTTTTTATTTTGGGGGTTAGGGTAATTCATTAACAAACATAAACACATATTTCACAGCTCATCTCACTGCAAAGATAACTTGAAGTAACATGCTACTTGAGCAGTTTTCCATGTCCTTTAAGTGCACAGTCACACTGGGCTGCTAATTATGTTGCCACATCTCCTTATGGTACATTTGGCACAGGCCTCTGCATTAACGCTCCAAGTATTTAATCGGACAATTAAATCGAAATTCAATTTCTTACTTGCTGGGTACTGGTTGCTTATTTTTGATTTGGCGTTTGGCTGTCTTTTTCCATGGTCTGGATATATATCTCAGTAATAGATTAAACCTTCTGAAATTGTTTTTCCAATACGTTACAAAAAACATTTTTTTTATTTTATGCCTCTTTATTTCATAAATATGGAGATAATGAGGCCATGGAGCTGATATTTTACACATGCATACATGTACGTTTTCTTAATCTCGTCTGATTATTTCTATTACACACTAGTATTAGCAACATCTGTTGGTTGAAATGTAAAAAATGTATTACAGAAAAAGCAACAGGGTTTTCGGTAAGGTATAAGGGTTTACTAACTACAGCACACGTCAGTTTCACATAAATATGTTTTCCTGTAATGTAAAGCCCTTTTTGGAGTCTCTTAGGGTTCAGATACTATATGTGATGTAAACATACTGTAGGCTGACTCTCAGCCATAATTTACTGCATAAACATGAGTTTTCTGTTAAAAAAATATGGACAACAAATTCAATTTTCAGACTTTCTCACTGGAGGATGATACCTACTGTACATATTTCGGGTAGCAAACAACTATTATTTGGACTGGTGCAAGTATACTCAATAGAAAAAGGAACAGAACATCAACAAGCAGATGTTTCTTGGCTAAACTGTATTATTGGTTAATGAATGACAACTATTTACGTACCGTTTGCCTATTCACTGGGCGATAACCTATAATTTAAAACGTTTACAGTAATGGTGGCCCTTTACATTACTGCTGCATTCATGCTTTTGTAAGTGCAGATTTTCTTTGGGAATCTTTCAAAAACGACAACAAAAGCAAACAGTTCCCTATAATCTAAACCTAAACCCTTATAAACGTTGTACTTTAAACGTTGTAAAATTGTACATTTACTTATTTTGCGCAGCAAGCATACAGTGACGGGGACGTCACTTAAGGAGTCATTTAGAGAGGTTTTCACCGAGGCAAAGCCGCATGAACTTTGCCCTACATTCTGAAGTCACCACTAGAAGGTGCAGTTATTTTTATTGTGTAGTGAAAATATCTGTAATACGTGCTTCATCAAATCATCACCAAATAAACATGTAATACTGTATTGTTATGCTACATGGAAAGATATGTCAAAAAGCGTGTTTAAGTAGTTTGATACGATACAATGAATAAAATAAAATCACTTTACATGCTCTGTGCACGGCTTATATATTGTTACGCGTTAGAGAAAGCGCGTTTATTCGTTTATTGCAGTGTCGATAGGAACCTATTCAATAATGGACACAGGTGAAAACGGTATACTGTACCTTGCAGTGTATATCTGCTAGCTGGAAACATGCTGTGAAGCTTCTTTTTGATACTTAATTTTAATATCACTGTTACAGCCACTGTTGATGATCATACGAAACGCTGCGTATCGTAAACATTAATAGGAAACACTTAATAACACATACACATTAAAACCCACTTCACTCTTGTTGCTTAACCGAGATTATAAAACCAAAAAGACAAACTCCCAGCAAGCAAACTAACCTTCACGATACCCTAACAAGGCGCTCTGGGAAATTGAGTTTAGAAGTTGCAGTTCCTGCGTGTAACGGCTTTGTAAAAACTACAACTACCGTCATACAGTTGACTGTAGTAAACTTTATTTAAATTCAGAAATTAGAATTTTTCTGAAAATGCTTATGATAGATTAAAAAATAAAAACATCTGATGATAAAGCATTTGATGACAGTGAGATATAGAATAAACAATAACGAAACCGTTTTTCATTGTACTTTCACACATTGTCCTTTTGTAAAACCTGATACTTCATGAAAAACGTATTTAATTTTATTAATTTCATAACCAAAACGGGAAATGTTCAACGTTTTAAAAATGTAAAAGTACTAAATTAATGCAATTTACCCTCAATTTAACAGGATACTTCTAGTTCAGTTACGTAAATTTGCTAGGACTGGGCGGTAACCTTGTGATAAATTCGCGGGAAGTTAAAATATCAACAGGGTTTGAACAGCACGATATATCGTACTTTATTCTGTGGATAAGAGCATCATGTCTAGGAATTCATCGGCTGGGCCCAAGAGTCTCCTTAATCTTACGGATCCTTCTGAAATGTTAGAAGAAATCGAAGTACAAATTGACGAGGTAAATTGGCACTTTAGGTTATTTTGTCTCCTCTGTAGTGAAAGTGAATGATGTAGTTAGGATATCTGGTTAGGACAGACGCCGAGAGTAAATTCATGTCATTATTTGGGATAGTGATGAGATATTACGAACACTTCACAGTGATAAGGAGTTATTGTATACAACCTTCTCCCCTAAATTTTAAATTATTAGTTACACATAGGACAGCGTCTACGAAATACAAAATTCCATTAACAGACCATTTATTTACCATTGGTGTGCCGTTTTAAAAACTAATTTTATATTAAGTTTTATTTTTACTTAGCTTTATCCTTTTCAATAGTATAATCAATGGTTTGGCATTAGTTTGAAAGTTAAATGAGGATAGTAACAGCCTTTTGTATTTTATATGTACGGTAGAAAGAGCCGTGAATGTTGAATACCGTTACAATTTAGAATTTTTTACATTTAAATTTACTTTACATTTATTCAAGGTAGATAGGGGATTCCAGGACCTCTGATGAGAATATTAATCAGAATAATCCTGAGTCCCAGTCATGTAAATTCAACGATTAGAATTTTTTTCAAAACGTTTTGAGGTTAGCGTCAATTTCGAGCAAAAATATATCCTATGAGGTGTATAATACAAACAGAAATGTGTTGCTTTTTTCGTATTGATGACAATGTAATTGAATTGAATTCTAGCTTTCATTTTTGTTACAGGCGGCAGTTTCCTTGACTAAAGTCCTGGAGTCTACAACTGCATTGTCAACTGAAGTGGCAAGCTTGGCAGAGAAGTGTTCTGCAAACGCTCAGTTCTTGAAAGCTTGGAGGGATTTTTTAAAAGAGGGCTATGGGTCTCTGCAGCCTAACAACTAAATGAGAACAGGACCGCGAAAGATTGTCAAATGAAGATGAATGAAATCTGATGCAAACATAAGTTTTATAAAGGTTTGACAACAGAGTGGAAAAATAAAGCAATACACGGAGATCATTAAAGAAAACTATCTTAATAAATGTGTATTTAAAATCTTAAGTTGTGCCATTCCAGAATGTGCAGCCATTTTTGCCAAAAGAACCACAGCTTCTGATTGAAGAATTCCAGATACAAGTTAAGAAAAGTGAACTCGCTGGGTGTCAGCAAGGTGAAAGTCCTGTTCAACAGTTTTGTACCGGCTAAGGACAAAAAAAGCAAATCAAACAACATTTGAAGTCAACAAGGAAGTTACATCAATCTCAGTCACCAAGTGCTAACATATTTTTCTTATTTCACTGTATATTGCTTCACATTTTGACAGTTTGAAATGTCAATTTAACCACTCCTGTTCTAACTGAAAGAATGTTATAATGGATTGGATCATCAGTAGCAACTGTAAATATAAATAAAATATATAGATAATACATTTTAACTGTATCATGTCATTTATAAAAATAATAATTGCAAGCTTTATAGAAATTTAAACTTCTGACAGCCTTTTTTTTCCCAAAGAACTAAATACAGTTTTGTAACCTGGCGACTTAAATCCCGGAGAAAAACTGATTCATAAAGTGATCTACTGTCACTTTTATTATGTTTTTATCAGTAAAACAGCATAATGACTTAACTTAGTAATGATGTAAAGCACTTTCTTGTTTGCAATGGTTTCTTGTGACTGTATTATTTTATAAAATGTTAATTGAGGAATATTTAATTATTACAGTATCACAACAAATAGATACGTTCTGGTATCATTTGAAAGTCTGCCTCTTGGGATTTGTCCAGGTTAAGTGTCCTAAATGTAAAAGATAGCTTCTGCAGATCTTACAGAGCATGTGAGCTTTACTATTTAATAGAAATGTGGTCCCTAGTTAAATAATACAAATGACATGCAGAAATGCAGGGAAACTTTTCAGTATCCAGTTAACTGTGTTAATTCACTGAACACAAACTATCTGTTACATGCTTGTAACAAGTCTCACTGTAAAGTAGAAAAATGAAAAATCTGAAAAGAAGTTAATTTTAAGTTATTTTTTTAGCATTTACAAAACAATCTAGTACCAAAGTTAAATATGCATGAAATTCGTAACTGAGACAGGCTTGAACTACTAATCTATATTTTATTCACTTTTCCTATTTAAATGGTTTGTTTATAGATTTCACAATTGTACTATGCATAAATCTAAATGGCCTTCTTCAAATTTTTTTTTGTGATCTACAACAGATAGCAGTCCTGTCCTTTGTGCAAATACAGCTATTGAGATCCCCTGAGTGATTGATTGCTGACTGTATGCTGGTGGACTCATGGAACAAGACAGATATCTAAAAAATGAAGTTCTAAACACATCAGTGTCAGTATCAATGTAATAAGTCACAAGTCTTAAGTCACTTCTTAATAAGATCTGCCTCCAAGTGAAAATTCACTATATCTATATATAATAAATAAAAATAAACTAATTTTTCAGTTAGATTTTAGGGGTAGAGGTGGAATAGCAGTAGTGATAAAATAACTGAACAATCATGTCCCATTGATGGTTTTCACAGGCAGTAGTTCAGACTTTCCCACGTTACACGGCATTTCAGATGGATGGGCCAGATAATCTGGCGTAGATGTAGCTGGGTTGGTTTCTTGCAGTGGCCACATATCCAGCCAGGTGAAGGATGGAGTGTATGCAGACTGGCTGTTAGTAAGTGATCTCCTCTGCCTGTAGTTGTTCCATACTTGAAGTAATGTCTCCTTGAAGGGCCGTGTGGTTAGTGTATACAGAATGGGGTTCAATGCACTGTTGATTGGCAAAATGAAAATCACCACCCATGAACTTATTGTGCCTGTAGGAGACATACAAAAACAATTGTGTCAATGTTTGCAGTATCCAAATTTAGAATTCAGTATCATGAACAATACATATTGTATATATCTTTGTTCTTTAGGTAAAATATTGGATTCTGTGGGCATTAACTTAAGGCAGTCATGTTAATTAAGAAATTATTTCATGCACTTAAAAATAAAAACAGCAATTCCCATCATATTAATAGCCAAACTGTGAACCATGCTCAGTTTCATAAGTTTCTGATTATAGATCTGAATCCTTGATAACATTGTAAATGAAACATTTTAGCTATGCATTTTCACTAAACATAAAGTGTATTTTAACTATAACTTTCCTACTATAACTTTCTAAATTATAGGAGAATCAGACATCAGCAGAAGCATTCATGTGTGTAGTGCTGGGGAAACTGATGAAATATTAATAATTATTTTGTACACAGATTAGCATTTCAATATTCCTTCTGCATTAGAAAACATTTACCCAAGTAATTCTTTAATTACAAATGGTATAATATGTTTAATTAAATAAATTAACTGTGAAGGAATAAACATATAATTTGTGACATTTCCTACAATGTTATTTTATTTGAAAACAATATAGGTGTTGACATATTAAAACATTATTTATACTATATGTGGGATGTTATTCTTGACATTTCAATCCACTTTCTGTCTGCGTGTTTGTGAGGGTTGCAGCTCTCAAACATGGTGTTAGAAAATACATCCGACTAGCAATTTCAAATTGGTTTGAAGTAATATTTATCTTTCACATATTAATAAAATTAAACACAGAGAAGGCGTTTTATTTTAATTAAAGCAAATGTGCATGGCTATTCCACAGACCTTACTCCTACAAAGGTTTACAGTGCAGTAGCAAGGTAAAATCATGGTGAAGCATGAAGAAGTATAGAAAACCATGAGTAAATACATGGAAACCCAGAGCAAAGCCGAGGCTCCGTAATTGTATGGTAAAACAATGTCAAAATGCCTTATATTACAGAGCAAATACAACAGTAAAATCAGAAACATTTCATAAGGGCAGTGAAAAGACTAAAGATAACTCCAACACCACAATTTCTCCTTACAATACAGCTAATTAATGTTTATGAACAAGGAGTATTATTATCAAGTTTCACAGTATGTCAGATGGAGAATATATTATTTTCCAAATCTTCATTTGTACCTTGTTGTGCATGGTCAAAAGCTATCTTTCTTGTGTGTTTTTAAGGACATTTCAAAGGTACGTACCAGGTATTTCCACCTGCAACAAAGATAGAACTTTAAGAATAAAAATAGGAATCCAGCATAATGAGTCTGTGAACACGATGAAGAAGAATCGCTTGGCAATTGTCACCTCCTTCTTAATGTGACTGCTGTATTCTGTGGCCTTTGTTCCTGTCCTCTGTATGTTGTAAAACATGCTTCCATAGCAAAATACTATTATGATAAAAGCAACCAAGTTTAGGCCTGTGAAGGAAAATGTAAAATAAGCCATTAGGATGTAATGATATTAGATCTTAGTTCAAAACAAGGAAAAAGTTCTAACACCTAAAATTGCTTTCCTTTTTTTTAACCTCAGCCATTACTATTTCTGTGATTTGTTTCAATTTCAGCTGTAACTTTGTGTTCTTTACCAAGCAACAGTAATGGAAACTATATCAGTGAAACAGCTGCTGCTTGAGTTAATGCTAACTCCCATGAAAAGCAACTGCGTAGCTTCGAGAAGCATGTGCACAGGGCCTTATTCTTTATGTTCAGTAGTACAGGGCTTATAGAGATAAACTGAGTTAGAAATAAAGTTCATACACAATTGTAGACTTCCAATTGGAAGAATTTAAAATACCACCAGGGGATTCTGAATTTCTTAAAAAGAAATTTAGGATAACATTTATTCATTTAGGATGATTAAGATAATTAACTAAGTTTTAACTTTAAGTAGATATAATTCTAAGTAAGGCCTAACAATACTAAGACACTTACCAAGGAAAATAACTACTGAGTAAACTTGAGCTCCCATTGTCTCTGGTTGTTCAGAATGCAAAGGAAAACAAACTCCATTGGTACCATAGAAATTCCTGAAGAAGTCCTTGCTGACCAAGGGGATAAATGCAATAACAAATCCAAGGATCCAAATGACAATTAGGATAGACATTGTCTGACACTTTCCAGGAGTGAGGTATCTGAAAGGGTAAACAATGCAGATATACTTCTCCAAAGTCAGATAAGTCAACAGCAGTACAGAAACCTCTGTGGATAGCATGGCTAGAGAGCCCACCAGCTGACACTGGACACTGTCCATCCAGGACTGCGCGTGCCTGTTATACTCTCCCCGGAACTTCAGGTCAAAAGCTCCAATGACAAAGAGGTACACTCCCATTAAGCAGTCAGCACCTTCAATGCAAAAGAAGAGACATTAAGAGGATGTCATCTACAATTATTTTTCTGTTTTGTTTTTTTTTAAGTGGGGGGGGGGATAAACAGAAGAACATGAATCATACAGCATACTTTAAAAAGTAAAATATCTCATATTTTAGGGAGTGTGACCAAAGAGTGGGTTACCTCCACTTCATCAAAAGCACCATAAACGATGATGAGAATCTACAGATCCTAAAAATAGGTAAAAGCTGATCACTAACATTTATTAGGAGTGTGGCTTCATCTTACAAGATGACCACTGCTCCTGAGGAGCAACAAAGGAAGGTCCAACAAACCAAATAATTCAGATGCAGAGTTCAATTCTAAGAAAAGCAAACAATTAACTGGAAGTCACTATTCTAAGCTGTAACATGATGCAGAATAAACATGTTCATCCTGACATACATTATATAGGATGTATATGTTTCCTTCATCATTCAGCCCTTGAAGCTGCATTGGCAAAACACTCCTTAGATGGAAAGAAACCATTATTTTGTTTTTACCCTGAGAAGTCAAATGCAGAGTACTGAAAGCAAATGTACAGTGTCAGGGATTTGGGAATTGATTTTACAAGAAATAAAAGCAAAATGTTTCATCGTGATTATTGTTTTCTAGAAACAAAAGCCCTAAAAGCAAATAAATCTGGATATCTCAGCCTCTATTCTATGTATTTGACAATGACCCATTATTAGGATTAAAATTTAAAAATGTAAATATTTTCAAAATAACTATTGGCAGAAAGTAGTCAGCTGACAGTAGAAGGCACCCTGAGAATTGTTTAATTATCTCTTATATATTTCCATATTCCATATTCACATATTTCCATCCTTCAGCTAAAGCTTCCAATCATTCAGATGAAGAGACCTGTGAAATGACTCATTTTGGCTTAATTGTGCATTTTCTTTCTTTCAATGCAGACTTATTACAGTTGGTGTCTAAGCAGAGATCATTAAAATAATTTATGTCTGCCCTATGTTACGGCTGAATTCACATTACTTAAACTGAGAAGCTTGAAAGGCATTTAGGATACTAATGAAAAATAACTATGTTTAATTTCCAATTCAAGAAAGGTCAACATTATAAATGCACAAACATTCTTAAATGACATAAGCAAATATAACTATGAAGGAGATAAAAATAAATATTTAGTCCTTAACTTTGCAATAGGTTACAACTTCATATTTTCAGAAGAATGAAAAACAAATAACTCTAACCTTGAAGAATAATAGTAAATCTATTTCCCAGATGTATTTTTATTTTAGTTAATAAAAACATCATCTGAATATTAATAGGGCAATTTATCATTCACAGGGCAATGCTCATTTAATGGCATTAAATTAAACTGAGAGATATACTGTAATTACACCATAAGCATGGTGTCCTGAACAGCATGTAATTTTCTTATTACAACAGCTTATCTTTTCTACAGCAGGAGAGAGATCAGTTCTGTTTCATTTGAAGATAAGCAGAAGGCAGGACGATACTTGTTTTAAAAGATCTTTCATACGATTTAACAAGTGAATCAGTTTTTATTGTTTCATTGTTTTATTTTCAATAATTGCCTGATTTTTAACTTGAATAACAAGTGGTGGTATGGTGTGCCCAGGGTTCAACCCCTTGGGCACTGTCTGCATGAGGTTTGTATGTATCTGCCCATGTTTGTGTGGGCTTCCTCCCACAGTTCATTAACATGGCGGTAGGTTATTTATCTTCTGGAAAAATTGACCCTGGTGTGAGTGTGTGCGTGTCTATGTTTGGCTCTGTCTGCCCTGCGATAGAATGGCATTCCTTTCCAGGGTGTGCTCTGCTTTGCACCCAGAGCTCCAGCTCACCCACAATCCTGAACTGGAAGAAGCAGTCAAGTAATTGGATGGATAATAATAACAGATTACCTGCGTTCAACTACAGATTCATTTCATTGAATGAAACATGATCAATTCTAAAGCTGGCCTGCATTGAACATGTGCAACCACAAATGGGATCTGTATCTATAGTATCTAAATACAAGGTTTCATCACAGTGGCTGGTAAGAGATTTTGTCCCAGTTCATACCTTTCTAAATGGAACTAGATCAGCTTGTTACTGTATATTCTCATGATTAATAGAAATAAAGGATCACAAAGTTGACAGATTATTTATTATAAAGATATGTCACAGCAAACGCAGAACCCCATAAATCAAGGTTAAAGCTGAGGTTCTATAACATATTTTCATTTCTATGTCCTTGGAACACTCATATATGAAGTACATCATTATAGTTTTTGGAAGCAATCATAGCAACATTCAACATACTAGAGCTTAAATTATAGTTGAGGTAGCATTATTGATGCCCCTTAAGTAGTAATGAACCTGCTTTCCTCTGAAGCTTTTGACACACACCAATCCAAAATATTTTTTGAGAAGTGAGATGTGCCAGCAATAGAAAATATTTTTATATTTATGTGAAATAATCATAAAAACTGTATAATAATTATAAGAAATTATTTCATTATGCTGCTAGATTAACGAATTTCCAACATTTCTTCAAAAGGAAGAAGACATTGACAGGTAGCACTATCCTCCACTTGATGTAACTAACCTGTTTTAAAGTGACATCATTCCAGGCTTTTTAATGCAGTAAATGGGGCTGTCAAAGCAATGTCTCTGTGTATAATACAGCTTAATTATGAAATGAACAATTACTTCTTCTAATTTTAAGATTTCAATCAGGAAACATCACAACTCGCAACCCACTGAAACTAAGCAGGTGTGAGTGTGGTCAGTACCTGGATGGCAGACAAACTAAGGTTGCTGCTGGAAGTGGTGTCAATGGGGCAAGTAGGGAGCGCTCACCCTGCAATGTGTGTGGGTCCTAATCCCCCAGTATAGTGACAGGGACACTATACTGTAAAAAGGCACCATCCTTTGGATGAGACACAAAACTGAGGTCCTGACTCTGTGGTCATTAAAAATCTCAGGGTGTTACCCTGGAGTCCTGGCCAAACTCCCCATGGTCTTTATCAATCATGGCCTTCTAGTAATCCCCATCTATGAATTGGCTTCATCACTCTGTTCTTCTCCCCACTGATAGCTGATGTGTGGCGAGTGTACTGGCACACTATGGCTGCCATCGGATCATCCAGATGAGTGCTTTACATTGGTGGTGGTGCAGGGGAGTCCCCATTACTTGTAAAGTGCTATATAAGTGTAAGCAATTATTATTATAATCTTTTCAGGCTCAACCACTTTGCTATGTACCGTCTCAAGCCAGGAGAAGAAAAATCATGTTTCAGTTAAGAACCATTAAAATATATGTCTATCCTAGATGACCTAGATTATACAGTAATTCCCATATCCAAATACATTTTTTAGTTCACAATCATGCTGACAATTCCTTGTATCACAATGATTCATGGTATATGTATTCCTAAATCACAATGACTGATTATGTGCAGCAGTGTCATGATAACAGTACAGTATGTGTATCTTTATCTGATTGGTTCTGATTGGTTAATGAGTTTATAGATAACCTTAATTAAAGATGGATCCTCTTGTTTAAGATGGAAAACTATTGGTTTTGTCCTAATAATATAATGTTTTATTTTTATAAGCATTTCCAGCACAATGAAGAGAAGGTGAACAATCTGAAGCATGCTGATTTTAATTGTGAAAAGCAATAGTGACCTACAAAGTTCATTAATGAAAGGAAAATCATGAGTTGTGAATAGCAGCAAAACTAAAATCATGGTGGTGTGCAAAGATAACAGTCAAAATAAATCTGGATGGAGTTGACCTAAAGCTAATAAAGACCTTCACATATTTTGAAGGACAGATTATGAGTGACAGGAATCCTCTGCGAATCCTATATGGATTGGAGACATGGATGCTGAAAAAGCCAAAGATGAAAAGAAACTCCTGGTAGCAGAGATGAGTTCTTTTTGAAAGACTCTGAGTGCAAAAACTGAAGAGCTACATGGGACTTTGACTCGGAAAAACACAACTATTATAGAAAAGATCAGAGTAAGAAGGCTGTTGTGGTATGGACAAGTAAATTGAATGAGAAGAGATGGCCAGACAGGGCATTGTCCACAATGTTGGAGGAAAAGAAATTAGAGGAAGACTTTAAAAAAGTTGATAGTAATGACTTTCAGCATATACAGTACTTAGTTTCAGATTACTACTAGACAAAAATAAAGCATGGCTCCTCCTTAGGGGCCCTAGCTACAAATACAAATTATCAAACTATCTAACAGGTTGGCTGGCCAAACCTTTGCTTACCAATCTTTTACCAGTGACCAAAGCACACCACAGTTTTTCCCAAAAAACCTTTCTCAACCTCTCTTTTCTCTCATACAGCAAACAAGAGTTCAATGTCCCACAGGCCTTTTAAACAAAAAACAAAGAGTTATGCTGATGTCCTTTTATACTCCAAGAACTTAATCATTAACAGCTGAGCCCAATCACACAAGAAAGAAGCTAATCAAGTTTTCCTTTGCCAAATGAAAATATAGTTTCCTTCTGGAAGCAGCACAGAGGAACTTCAGACAGGGTTATAAAAGGTAGAGGCGTATCAAAAAGTCTGGGCCCAAAATATACTCCCTGAATAACTCAGCACTCAGTTTTATGTGGGTGATGCCAAGGATTCGATCACAAATCTTAGTCTTTCAAAGTAAAATTGGGAGTTAAAAAAAAATTAGTAAGAAAAATATCAAATGTCTCTCTTCGTTGCAGCACATGGCAATGTAACATACAGTATTAATAAGTCTAATTTCTTTCTTGGAAGCTGTATACATCAAACATTTCCAGCACCTCCTCCAGCTTGTTCTTGTTGTGTTTGCAAATGTAGGCATCTGCTGCTTATGAATTCATTATTTTCATAAATAATATAACATTTCATCAATTACATTTGTGCCACCAAAGTGGCAGAGATGAGAATGGTGCTTCAACAACCACTAGTTCACATTAAGATTCCCATCCATTTATAGTGAAGACTGGCTTAATGACATCATCCATTATTCCGGGTTAATCAGAACATGACTGTCATTTCACTATTCATACCATTTAATGTTTATCTGAAAATAATAATAATACTGAAAGCTGTAGCAATTCGGCTGGTGTACTCAG